AAACTGTTAAGAAGTCAGAGACAAATAGGGACAAGAAAAGTCATTACGATCATAGAATAACAATTTAAAAAGTCAAACAAGACCCTTTCTGGGACATTCCCCCCACTCCATATATCACAAATAAAATCCCCTCCCCCACCATCATTTTGCATATCTCCACTAACCAGAATCATGAAGCCACTTCCTCCTTAGCCAATCTCAGCTCCCAACTTCAATCTCACCCACCTTCCCTCTCCTCTCCTCTTCTCTCTCTGTCTCTCTCTCTTTCTCCAAAAAAACCAGACAAAAATGCTGGGAAAGAAGATGGTAAGCTTCAAAAAACTAGCCAAGAAAGTGAAGGTTATGGGTGGTGCTAATGAGCCATCACACCATGAATGTTTGCTAAGAGAGTCGTCAGCAGCAGAGCAAGGAGGGTCTCCTTCAACCAAACCCCCAACTGGGTTTTTGGCCTTGTATGTTGGAGAAGAGCGCCAGAGGTTTCTGGTGAGGACAAGCTTTCTCTCTCATCCACTCTTCAAGATGCTGTTGGAGAAGGCTTACAATGAGTATGGATTTGAGCAGAGAAATGGACTTGTGGTTCCCTGCAGTGTGTCTGCTTTTGAGGAGGTTGTGAATGCTGTGGAATGCAGCAATGGGAAGTTTGATTTTGGAGAGCTTGTTGAAGAGTTTATTTCCTGAGTAAATTAAGATATGTTAGAAGCTTTTTTCTTTTTCTTTTTTCTTTTTTTTGATTAGTGGAGATTGTTAGATTAGCAATTCCATGTATGTACTAGAACATGTTCATATACATAGAAAAATACTTCAGCTCTTCAAAAGGGCTGGAGCTACTTTTGGTCATTTTGATTCTCTGGTTTCCAATATTCCCAAGTAGACTCAATACAAATGAACTCCAACTCTGACCCAAGAAAAGAGAGATATAATAACATATACCCTATAGGCTATAAAATATTTGGGTAACTTTCCAAATGCATATATTATATATTATTAGAATTATTATTATGCTCTCCAATCCCTTTCAGTTGCAATAACAATACATGGAACTTCTCAGTTCAACTTCTGCAGATGGACCTTCAAAATCATGCCTCTGAAACTACCTTTGCTTGCCTAAGGGGTAACAGAAAACAGCAGCGTGCTTAGAAGTGTTATTGCTATCCCTTCCAGGAGATGTAGATCAATGCAGATGCTATTTGGGAAAATAAGGATGTTTGATTTGAATAGTCAATTTTATATGAAATTCAAGGCATAATTGTCTGCAGAAAATAAGGACCTTTAATAGTCTAAATTTTTATTTTATTTTTTTAGCACAAGCGATAGTCTAAACTATAGAGAGAGGGGGATTTCTCACACACACGCACAACTAAACTTCTTGTCTGCAAATCAAGGCTCTTATTCAGTGGGCTAGACCTGTTTGATAAATTACATATAGAATTCAAGGGATATATATATTTTGGATATTAGAATTCAAGACATAATTGACTCGGCATAAAATAACGCCGTGTTTATAATGCACAAGGAAGTGGCATGGCTTCCAATTTTGCAAAAGGGAACTTCCCTGCTTTGGCACATAGTTTTTATTTTAAACACAATCAGTGGCGGTCCTATACCGAGGTCAAGGTAGGCAATTGCCTACCCAATTGTAACGTAGGCACTAGGTAGGCAAGGCTAACATGAGAGCTTCAGCTCCCAAAAAGCTTCTCAGGTGCCCACATGAACATGACATGCAAAGTCAACATGCTTTCACAATTTTCCATGTCATAAAATAGTAATACCTATCCAATATGAAATGATTATTCATTGGGAGTTTCACTAAAACACCCAAAATGGAGGTTGAAATTATAAAAAAACCCAACACCCAAAACACTTTATAAACACACCCAAAACTCATCATTACACACACTCAAAACCCATTTATAAACACACCCAAAAAGTTGACTTTGGGGTTGATTTTGGGTGTGTTTCTATGTTTAAATAGTGCTTGGGGTTTTTTATAAATACATGTCTAGGATTGGGTTTATTTATAAATTTGTATTATTCATTCCCTATTCCTATTTGGTTTCTTTATTGCAGTCCTAATTCCCAAAAAATATTTTCCATGCTCCTTCGCAAATATTTTTCAGACTCCCTCTTGTATTGTATTTGGTTGGAATTTATTATGATATTTTTAATAAAGGGTTACTTATTTTAATTTATATTTATTTGGTTTGTTACATTATATTTCTCTTTTATACTCAAATTTCAAGGTTGATAAATGAAGAAATATGTTATATGTAAATTGCAAAAATTGTTGTCATATGTGGGGTTGAAAAAGTTGTAGTATTAAATATATTTAAATTTATATATGTTTGTTTTATGTTCAATGGGCAACACAACATGATATTATTCCTAACAACCTCAATTTTGCACAAACAACTAAAGTTCAAAATTTAAAACAACATCACTCATAAGACAACTGATGCCTATAACTAGAAGTAGCATCAACACTATTGGTTTTTGTGATGTTGTAAGTTAGAAAATGCCATTAACGAAGTATAAAATTATGATGCTATAAACCTTATTTAGCATCAGAACTATTAAAACTACCGATGCCGTTGCATGTTTAGGCATCAAGGGTCAACATTTTTTTTTCCACACATAAGGAACTATAGCATCAGTGTTTATTATAGAACTGATATTGTAAATACATAAAGGTAATGTTATAGGCAAAGGTGAGTAATACCACGGTAGGAAGGGTGATTTGGCAATGGATATTATCCGTTGCTAAGGCAAAATTTGGCATAGTGAATTATTATAAGCTCTTGTCAAGTTATTGACCCCAAAAAAACAAATAAACAAATAAAAACTCTTGTCAAGGTTTGTATGTAAGTTTTTGCCTCCCCAAATTTGGAATCCTGGGTCCACCACTAAACACAATGGTGCTGGAGATAGCCCAATGCTAAAGAAATAGGAACATTCTATATAGCTACTTTGATACTTGCAGAGATTCTGAATAAAGGAGCAATTTATAGAGCTTGGCATCTCTATAGGAAACAAATTTTGTAGTCGAATTTATTGCACATTCTCTCATACTAGAACAACGTAAAACCATGAACTTCCTTCCTGGGGAGAAAGAGAACAGTGCATTTAAGGGCCGAGCTTTTACGGAGGTAGATGGGCTTGCCGTCTTTTCGTCCAAAGTTTTGTAGCCCAGGCCCATGAGCATGCATTCATCTGATTATTTGAGTGGAACTAACTTGGTGCTGCATCACAATGAAAGATTGAAATCCATCATTAAGCTCATACAAGACAACCATATCTAGCTCTCACTCTCAACATCATCACAAGCTTCTACAAGAATTCTCTTCATACGATCCATCAAGTCCTGCATTTGTTCCCTCGAATGCAATGGCGACGGATAAACACATGCGCAATTCAACGCTCCATCACGTATGGTGTCGAAAATGGCTATAGAGGGGCCAACGCCATGGACTGAAGCGCAGCCCTCGTAGTCCTCCACCCCAAGCTCTTGGTGCACCTCACTAGAATCATCAATCACCGAGTCCTCGAACACTGAGATAAACGCAGTTCTCAACGACGATGACGGGGTCAAGCCAGGGTTTTCGATAGCCTTGCACATGAGGAAGTTGAGGTCTGACATGTCTGTGAAATGCTTGTTTGAGTTCTTGGCATTTGCGAAGGCAATGTAGCATCTCTTTGCCAGCTCCCAGAGTGTGTTTCCTCCATTTATGTCATGCGTATTCATGATGGCAGAATGATAAAACCCTGAATAATTTAGGGATGAATATCAATCTTATTTCATCAGCATTCAAATAATTGCCACTGTATTCTCATTGATGACTACTGACTTTAAATATACTCAACCTTTTCTCCGCCATCGGTATGACTTTTTTTAGAGCTGACTTTCAAATTTTCAATTTGAAAAATCATTTGCAGGGGCTTACCAAGATTATTGGAACTGAGGGGTGGTTCAAGAATGGAGCGGCAGTCAAGGAGAGTTACAACAGCATATTTCTCCCATTGATGATCCGAGAGGTGCTTAGAGGCATGCGCAGCAATCAATCCAGCAGCTGCCAAGGCTCCAGATAATTTTATTTCTCTAGATTTGCAACCCTGAAAAGTTCAATCACCATTAAAGTGACCAAGTCCTGAGGCATGGTCAAATTTAACCAGCTTCATATATGATTGTCTTCATTTAGATAAAAATGAAAATGTCAGCTTGAGCTGGTCAAAAATCAAAACTGTATTATTGATGCACTGCAATGTCTCTCACAAATTGGCCGCCGAAGAAAAGAAAGAAGCCTCATAGAGTCATTGACTCATAGCTAGCTAGAGTATTTGTTGAATCCATAACAACCACTTGTAGGCATAGACTCCAAGAACTAAGCTATCAACACCATTAGTGACCAATGCTTGACATCACACGAGAACACAACTTCAAACCAACATGAAATATACAGATTCGGGTTGACCATTGCTTCACATGAACCTAAAAAATGACATGACTTGCTAACACAAATAATAAACATTTCGAGGCATGTCGAGGTATGTCTACCACAAGTAGAGGGTTTTTTCTTTTTCCCCAAGGTCTTGGAACATCTTATAACGTTGAGATCATAACTAGCATCACTAGACTCGGAGCTAATTGGTCACCTAACAAGTTGTGTTCAAGTCATGTTACTTGATATTTGGTGAAGTACTAATCAATCTTAACCAGACCCATTTCGTTAGTCTGTCCACGCAAAATGACAAATCATCCAGCCCACATGACTCCCATCCCTAGTACGGGAGCTTCTACAATGAGGAGTTAAAGTGAGGAGGTTATTTGAGGTGACCGATCCGACCGTCAAAATATTTAAAATATTTAAGTCCCATGATTTCTTTACATTTGTTGATGGTGAGATTTGACCTCCTCAAATAACCTCCTCACTTTAAGCCCTCATTATAGCCTTTCCGCCCTAGTACTGCAACCTTTTAGAAAAGACAATGGATGATGGGATAGCGGACCAAACCTAACCACCAGACTCAAATTGGTCTTATTCGAAACGCCCACATCATCGCCATTCTGGATGCCACAATATGGAGCCCATCTCGGATTATTTTGATTTCATTACTTTATTATGGTAATTATGGTGGTAGTAGAATATGGTCTCGTAGTATACCTAAAAACCAATTTCTTTGTAAATTAAAGTTGTTTAGAGTATCATTTTTATAGAATAAGAAGTGGAAGAAAAATAAGTCATTTTTGGTTCCTATACTATAGTTTGTCGGTTTTACCATTTTCGTCTATGCTGTTTCAATTTTGTCAATTTTATCCATATAATTAAATCTTAGCGATTAAAGTACAAGTTACAAATTGTGTCAAATTCCTTTGAATTAAATTCTTTAGCAAGCGATTTGACAGAATTTAATCTGTCCTTGAATTGCTCGTATTTAAAACTATAGAGATAAAATTATCAAAATTAAAACTACCATGGCAAAAATGATAAAATTGGCCAACTACATAAACTAAAGGTGATTTTTGCCAAAAATCTAGTAAAACTATTGTGAGGTGGCATTTAAACATTAGAATCACATGCATGCGTACAGTTAAATATTGACTATCTTAAGAAAGAAAAATAATAATAATAATCCAAGTCACTGGAAATTAACTTACAGCAAGAAGCCTCTGGCAGTCATGTGGGTTTAACTGTAATTTCACCACCTGAGAACGCCTCGCCGAGCTCGCGTCTTTGAAATCCAGATTCGATAGCCTCAGCGAATTCAAAGAGTACCCAAGCATGTCCACGCCACGCGCCCAAAACGGCTTGTTCGCCTTCCCGTTTGGGATCAAATCCTCAATTCCCAAACTGATCTCCCCATTTCCCTTTAATTCCCTCTCTGCCTCTCCTCCCCCCGTCGACTTCATTTCCGCCAACAGCGCCCTCAGCAGCGCCACGGCCGCAGCGCGGTCGCACGCTGACGTGTGCACGCGGAGCGCCAGGGCCCACCGGGACTCGCTTATAGTGTACACGCTCGCAAATAGCACGTCCGCGTCAGCGTCCGACGAAGGGTTGGGATTGCGCCACGTGTTAATGTTGAGCTCGTGCTCGAGGATTAGATGGAACGCGGGGATGTTGGGCTGGTTTTGGTTTTGGAGAATGAGAACCGTCGATGGGAGATCGAACCGTTGGATTTGGAGGTGGGGAGTTGGGGGTGTGAGGAAGGAAAAGGTGTTTGTGGTGGGATCGAAGAGGTGTTTGGAGCGGAGGACAGGATGGGAATTTTGGATGTTGTGGAGGGCAGTTTGGAGAATTGAGAAGTTTGGGGGTTTGGAGAGGAGGAGGGCTAGGACTGTTATGCCGGTGCCAGAGGGGACGGCTTTGCACCAGCTGTACTCGGTTCCGCCCACGGGTCGGGTCTTGGGCTCTGGCATTGCTTCTGGGTTGAGAGAAAGATAAAGAAGTCTGCTTTGAAAATGTTAGATAACAGGAACTGGAAGAAGACTGATTAAGGTTTGTATATTATTTTTGGCCACACGTGTTTTATTGTTTATAATGGGCCACGCTTTCTGTCAAATTTTAATTTCTGTACATTTTCGTCTTTTTAGGTCATATGATGGCCCCTACGCATATGCTATTCTCCAAAGGCATTCGCCCTTAATTATTCTTGGGTGCTGCTATTCCCACCATTGTCTTATTTCTCCATCTACCCACCTTATTTTCAAAATTATAAAAGCAAATTTACCATATTGCAAAATGACTTTTAAGTTAACACCGTTAAGTCAAGAAAATGAAAGTAAAAATAAAAACAGAAAATTAGAATAAATAAATAAAAGAGCCCAGCAAAACAACCCTCAGACCAAACCAACCTCACCTCCAGCCACATCATCAATTGCCACCTAAACCAAATGAGTTGCTCTTGTAAGATTCCCAGTTGCCCTCCTCTCTATTTTTCTTTTTTCATAAATCTAAATTAGCGAAAATAAATTTCTTTTACTCTTTGTTTATTGTTGTCTAGGTAGGCCATAGATCTTCATACGATTGCAGCTCCTATTAAATGTTAGACTTCGCTGCACTTACGACATTGATTAACAAAATCCCAATGTCGCTTTTATGACAACTTTTTGCATTTTAAAAAAATAATTGTTTTGGTTTCGGAAGGGTTGAATCCCTGTAACTTCAAATTGGGCATGTCAACCAAGGTGGTTGGTGTGAGTGGTTCGGCACTCTCATTCCTTAAGAGAAGGTCAGGGGTTCGATCCTTACTCTCGTATGGAGTCACCACTTTGGCCAGCACTTTACCCCTTACGGGCCGACCCGGTGTGAGCGGGGATTAGTCTGGGTTGTGGTTAAGGCTTAAAGGTGCCACCCATAGTTGGGGCCCATCCAGGACCACCTCGTGGTTCAAACCAAAAAAAAAAAAAAATTGGGCATGTCTAGGAAATAGTTAAGAAGGAAAGAATAAAGATTGGAATGTTCTATCTCTCTCGAATTGGAACCTTGGAGGAATAAAGGGCCATGAAGTTGCTGATATTGATGAAGAAGACTAGGATGAGTGACTTTGGCAGGCAATGCAGTCGAAGAAGTGTCGTCTCAGATCTGGGCCAATAGATGTAATATTTCTCGTGGGTTGATTGAAATGGAGAGAGGAAAAGAATGTTAGATTGGGGTTTGAAGGTGTTGTTCAATACAACTGAAATAATGGTGAAAGATACATGAGGAGGAGGACGGAGGAGGGGAGGCTTGGGTCGAGGTGGAAGGTATGGGTGGTTCTTGTTAAGGTTTGATGGAGTGTGTAGTGGGTGGCTGCTGAAAACCTTTTTTATTTATTTATTTAATTTATTTATTTATATTTTTTTGGGACTCAGTCAATAGTGTTAAGTTAGGTTTAAAAGAGTTAAGTGAATGGAATGGTATTTTAGGAATAATAGTGGGTGCAAAGATAGAATTGTGGTTTTTCAAATTTTCATTGTGGGTGGGAGGTGTCAAACGGGACGGGACGGCCCAGCACGGCACGAGCCCAGCCCCT